TTCCTCCCTCTCCCCCCTTGTTTTATTTGCAGTCTGGATTTATTGCTCAAGAATTGCCTCCTTTGAGCATCATCCCCTATTAACCAGACAGATAAAAGCCATAAAGGGAAGGGAACTCCTTCAGTTCCCTTTGCCAGTTGTGAGACAGAGCAGCCGCGTTTACAAGGGGAGTTGACATCTGTTGACGGGAGCCGAGCCTGTCCTGCACCGGCGCTGTGCTCATGCTCGGAATGCAAACTGCAGCTATCACAGACAGAGCTGGGGCTTAATAACTGCTTGAGCCCAGAGCAAATCTACTTGGGCACTAGAAAAGAAATTGTGCAGTTTTAAAGCAGATGTATGTTCTTAACGTGGTTGGCATGTAAAACAATAAAACCCAGGGTTTCTTCCCCCCTGCCTTAGCTTATCACAACTGTTAGAGTAAATAGTGTAACTTAAGACAGGGCGATTCTATCACAATTCCATGTAATTTGCGAATTCAGTCCATCTAACAAGATGAAGCTTGAATTAGCATCCCATCTAGAAGGCATTTCATTTTCTCACGTACGGTACAATATTAAGAGCAAACAACATATGTCTCCATGGTTATAAACAAGGGTGTCATGTTTGCAAAACAGATCCTATATGCAGAATGTCTATAAATGGGAGGAAATATGGGGTTTTTGTTGGTTAAAATGATGTTGTATTTATTTCAATCCATGTGATCTTTAGGAGAAACGTTTTCTCTTTTCTCTGTTAATACTGACAAGGATTGTCTTTGCATCACCTTTCTCCAAACCTGAGTTCGTGGCTCAGCTCCTTCCTCCTCTGTGACCTTGAGAAAATCAAGGAGTCTGAGCCTGTTTCCTTTCCTGTAAAATGAAGGTGCTGCCCTAGATCAGGGTTTCTCTAAGTCTATGCTGAGAAGCATTTTTTCTGAGGAAATTAATGGGAGTGATACTTTTAAAAAGGGGTTCCATAGTCAAATAAGTTTAGGAATGGTGGCATTCAACACAACTTCTTTACTCGGGAATTTAATGTGCTAATAATATTCATTGTGATTCTTCAATAGGAAGATAGAGTATGCTTTGCTTCCCTAATTTATTTTACCACAAAACCTTTACTTGTGAAACATTTCTCAGAACCAGTCCAAACGTTAGACTTTACAGACCATGTAACTTATGACATTCTAGGATTTTATTGCCTTTTTATTCTGCCTACCTTTCCAATTTCTCCCACCTCTTTCAGGAAAAGACCTATCTGGGCTTTTGAATTCATTCAGAAGGTGAAATTCAGGTTATTCTTCCTGCCTTTCTCCCTTGCAATTTTTTATTTTGAAAAATTTCAAACCATCAGAAAAATTGGAGGAATAGTATAATAAGTATATACTCTTTACTTAAATTCAACAGTTAACATATTGCTCTAATTACTCTCTGTCTCTCTCTCTCTCTCTGATTGTACATATACACACACATTATATATACCATATGTATACTTTTATTGCTGAACTATTTGAAAATAAGTTGCAGACATTATGACACTTTATCACTAAATACTTAAAGATGTTATCTTCTAAGAACAAGGAAATTTTTCTATGTAATCTCAGAACCACTACTGCACCTGAGAAATTTAACATTGATCAATATCATCTAATGTATGCTCTGCATTTAAATTTCCCTAATTGACCCCAAAATGTCCTTTTTAAAAAATAATTTTTATTTCAAAATATTAGGGAGTACAAATGCTCTTGTTATATGGATGAATTGTACAATGTTGAAGTCGGGGCGTTTAGTGTGCCTATCACCTGAATAGTGTACATCGTACCTGATAGGTAAGCTTTTATCCCTTACTCACTTCCACCCTCCCCTCTTAGTTTCCAATGTCCTCTACACCACTTTATGACCATGTGTACTCATAAATTTCCACGTATTAGTGAGAATATGTGGTGTTTGGCCTTCCATTCCTGAGAATACCTTGCTTAGGATAATGTTCTCCAGTTCCATCAAAATTGCTGCAAATGACATCATTTCATTCCTTTTTTATGGCTGGGTAGTACTCCATGATATATATACACCACATTTTCTTTATCCACTCAGCCATTGGTGGGCACTTAGGTCGATTCCATATCTTTGCAATTGTGAATTGTGTTGCAATAAACATTCAGGTAAAGGTGTCTTTTTGATATAATGAATTCTTTTCCTTTGGGTAAGTACTCAGTACTGTGATTGCTGAATCGAATCATACGTCTACTTTTAGTTCTTTGAGGAATCTCCATACTGTTTTCCATACAGGTTATACAGCCCCACCAACAGTGTATAAGTGTCCCTTTTTCATTGCATCCATGCCAGCATCTATTGTTTTTTGATTGTTTGATAATGGCCATTTTGATAGGGGTAAGGTGGTATCTCACTGTGGGTTTAATTTGCATTTCCTTGATGATTAGTGATGTTGAGCATTTTTTCATATGTCTGTTGGTCATTTGTATATTTTCTTTTGAAAAAACTCTGTTCATGTTTTTTGCTCACTTTTTAGTGGAGTTATTTGTTTTTTTCTTGTTGATTTATTTGAGTCTTTATAGATTCTAGATAGCAGCTATTTGTCGAATGTATAGTTTGCAAATATTTTCTAGCATTCTGTAGATTGTCTATGCTATTGATTATTTCCTTTGCTGTGCAGAAAACTTTTAATTTAGTTAAGTCTCATTTATTTATTTATTTTTGTTGTTGCTGTATTTGTCTTTGGGGTCTTCAAAATGTCCTTTTTTAAAAAAACAAATCTAGCCTCGGTGAGGTATGTTAGCTTATGTCTGTGCCCCAGCACTTTGAGAAGCCAAGGCAGGAGGATTGCTTGAGGTCATGAGTTTGAGACCAGCATAGCGAGACCCTGTCTCTATAAAATTTTTTTTTAAAAAAATTAGTTGGGTGTGGTGGCATCTGCCTGTAAAATCTTACCTACTCAGAAGGCTGAGGCAGGAGGATCATTTGAGCCCAGGAGTTCAAGGCTGCAGTAAGCTATGATCACACCACCATGGCAGTCTAATCGGAGCAGCAGAATGAGACCCTATCTCTAAAAGAAAAAAAAAATTCCAATATGCATTTAGTGTTCACACATTAGATGCTTTGACTTCTTTAATCTAGAACAATCCCTCAACTTGCTTGTCTTTCATGACATTTACTTTTTTTGGAAAGCCCAGGTGATTTGTTTTGTAAACTATCTAAAATTATTAATTTGTATAAATGTTTTCTCATAATTATATTCAGTTTACATATTTCTGACAGAATCTTAATATGTGATGGTGTTGTGTACTTCACATTACTCTAGCAGTCCCCAATCTTTTTGGCACCAGGGACCGTTTCATGGAAGACAATTGTTCCACAGACAGGGCTTGGGGTGGGGTGTGGAGCGGAGGTGCTGAGGAGGTGATGCGAGTGACGGGAGCAGCTATAAATACAAATGAAGCCTGGCTCGCTCACCTGCCGCTCACTTCCTGCTGTGCAGCCCAGTTCCTAGGTTTTGTGGAAGACGGTTTTTCCAGGGACAGGTGTGGGGGTGAGGCAGAGCTCAGGCAGTGATGGCATGGCCCGGTTCCTAATAGGCCACAGACCGGTACCGCGCGTTGGGGACTGCAGCATTACACCATATCAGGCGGCACTAAATGTCACTTTGTCTCATTATTGGTGACGTTTTGGGTAATAGCTGGGTTTAGATGTTGTTTGCTGTATTTCTCTATTATAAAGGTATCTTTTCCCCTTTGGCAATTAATAATGATTTGACAGTTGATATTTTGAGAATTGTGAATAACTTGTTTCCCAACAATCTTTCACCCAGTGGCTTTGGCATTTACTGATGATCTTTGCCTGAACCAAATATTGCTTCGAGAATTGCAAAATAGTGATTCTTCTATTTCTATCATTCCTTCTACTTTATTAGCTGTTATTCTTCTGTAAATAAGAGCTTTCCTTTCTCTCTTCCCCTCATTGAGTATCAGGACATATAGCATAGATTCTTTCTTTTAATTTAATGCTTAATAATCTCTTTTTGTAATTCATCCTTCTAAAACATTTATTAAGAGACCACTCTGTGCCAGGTACTGAGGTGAGATCAACCTAAGGTTAATCTCAGTTTTCCTTACCTTTCCCTGCAAATACTTAAGAAAACGCTATCAGTGGAACATGGACAACTAATCCAGATTCTTGAACTGGTCACCACTTTGCCACAAAGTTTGTTAGGTGGGAGAGGAAATTGAAGACAGAGATGGGAGTGGAGTAAGAGCTCCTAATTGTAATAATTATTCCCTTTCTATAAACCTTGGTCAGGCTATTATGGTTCCAGCAATCATCAAATGGTCAACTGAATCATCTCACAGGAAAGGAAAAACATCAACTATTAATACCATCTCTGTGGAGCCCTGCTGGATCTGACTCAGAAGGAGGGAGTCTCAGTACCAAGAACTCAACTTTCTGGGATCCATGGAAGGAGAACTACGACTCCTGTTTCCACTCTGAGCACAAAATGAGTCTTTTAATGATAGTCCAAGTCACTAGGAAGATATAGTCCAAGTCACTAGAGAAGTATGTCCATATCTTTGACATTTAATAGGTTCTTATGCTAAATATCCAGGGACCAAAGTCCCCGGGCGGGACGGGGAGTCCGGAAGCACTTCCCTGGTCTGACACAAGACAGGCCCCACACAGGCAGTATCCTCATCTCTCCAGCAGGACCTGAATGACAGATGCCAGACAGTCACTAAGTGATTCAGAGAACAGAGCTGGGAGGCTGCGTTCGGTGGAAGGATAAAGATACCCTGTTCCTGGGCAAGAATAGACCAACCCATCTTGGTCAAATTTCCTGGTGGCGGCAGGTTCTGAGCGTTACGCAAGGGGGGAACATTTTGCAGCGTAACGAGCCTGGTGCCCCAGGACTCTGATGACTGAAAGAGGTCAGAAAACACATCAAAGGATGTACAATCTTTTGGACTTAATTTTGTTCCTTTTGGGAAGGTCTCTGATCCCTTGAAAAGCCTTCCAGTCCCAAGAAGAAGGTACAGTCTGTGTCCCCAAGGGGAAGGAGCCAGCATAACAGACAGGAACTGGCCTCATGCCCGAGACGGGAGGTGGGGGGAGGGAATCAGTGTCCAGGGAGTAATTGTGGTACCTGGAGTCTTTGTCACTTCAAGGTTCACACCACTTTTGGCGTCTCTCTGAGGCCATGAAGGAAGATCTACCCGGCTGTCAGAGAACCTCCAAAGGGATAAGGGCTCAGTGGGAAAGTCCAGGTTTTAGAGATCAAAAACACTCAGGTTCAAATGCTATTCCCTAAAATTTATGAGGCATAAGGCCTTGGCAACTTAATACCGCTTCTGTCATCTGTAAAATAGAGATAAAAAATACCTCACAGATGTGTTGTGAAAATCATCTTAAGGTAAAGCATGTGCATTACTTTATTAGTTAGGATTCCTTTCGTTCCAAGTAACAGAAACCAACCGGAGCTAGCTTAAGACAAAAAGTGAAAGAAATTAAGAGGGAGGGAGTTAATTATAATGTTACAGCAATGTCTCATCATTTTTACCATTAGGAATTTAGCTGAGCCTTGTAAGGAGGCTAGAACCCCAAAAGAAAAGGTCATCAGGAGTCATTGTAGCTTTTCTTTGTATATCTCTTCTTCTTTTTTATTTTTTTTTCTGTTTTCGCAAGAACTGGCTTTCTCTCTTCTAAACCAACACAGCTGACAGAATTTGGACACCTACAGCTCTTGAATTTACATCTTCCCTTCTAAGACACTGACACGAAAGGTACTAGAATCTCATAACCCCAATTCCAAAGTCTCATTCTGAGTCTGATTCTTTACCTCATGACATGGGTTCATTGTGGCTGGGAGAGGACGGGGCTGGAGCAGGTGTGGCGAAAGGGCTGTAGTGGGCTGGGTAGACATTCCAAGGTGTGGTTTTCATACCTATCTATGCCAGTATCTGTCATTTAGTGGGGGCTCACGAGGTGTTACTTTTCCTTTTTCTTTTCCTCAGACCAAAAATGATGAATGTAAGAGCAGAGTTGGGAACAGTTACCTGGATTATTCTGGGGCTTGTGGGGTCTCATGATAACTGCCATGGAAATCATCAGGATCAATGCGTTATCTGACAACGCTGGGATCGATCAGGTGGGCTGTGGGCTTCTAGACCTTCTGTGTCCTACCTAAATTTGGCTTCTTGCTGTGTTATTTGAGATGTATCTGCCCAATCTCAAAAATTCTCTGTTCTCAGTGATAAGACGGCAGACACAATCCTGCTATGGAGAAAAGTACGCTCTGCAGAAGTAGGTAGGTTAGAAGGTAATGGCTGAGGCTAATGGTCAAAGAGAACACTTAGTAACTAGAGGAACAGAATCCCTACAGGCACTTTGCTGGCTTTTCTTACAGACAACAGCCCCAAGTGCAGCAAAGTGCACAAAGCCAATTCTCTTCTTTCTTTCTTTTCCTTCCTTCTTCCTTCCTTCCTTCCTTCCTTCCTTCCTTCCTTCCTTCCTTCCTTCCTTCCTTCCTTCCTTCCTTCTTCCCTTTCTCTCTTTCTGTCTTCTTTCTTTTTTTCTTTCTCTTTGTTTCTTCTTTCTTTCTTTCCTTCCATCCTTCCTTCTTTCTGTCATTCCTCCCTCTCTCTGTTTTCTGTCTTGCTTTCTCTTGTGCAATAAATAATCACTGAGCCAAGCACTGTGCTACTGACAGAGACTTGAATAGAAGTGCTCAAGGTATTTCGGACGTTAAAATTTTTCTCTTGGAAAAGCATAAAGCCCAGGCTGGAATTTCAGGAAGCAGGGCTGGGCATGAGAGTAGAAAAGACGTTCCCTTGATTATAGGAAAGTGATCAAAGTGGCACTTGATGAAAGCAGCCCAGGAATGGAGGAAGGGAAAAGCATCCAGACTGATGGACTGAATGAAGAGCGTGAGTCTGAACTAAAGGAGCCACAGCCGTGGTCTTTTGATCCTGGCATGTAAGACTGAGGCAGTGGGTTGAGGCAAGGCCTGGCAGGCTCCCGGGAGAGAGGTTCCCATCTTCCCATCGCTTATGGAAGCCCACAGGCCTTGGCCCTTGAAGGCACCAGGTCTTTCAGAGCTAGGAAGGACAAAAAGCAGAGTTCTGAAAGAAATGTTTCCCATACCAAATACTTTTCTAATAGCAAAGATCAGAGAATAAAAACTTTCCTCAGTAATTCTATTTCCTGCTGACCCTCCAAGACAACTCGCAAATTGCAATGGAAGAAACTTGTATTTCTCTAAATTCACCACTGAGACTCAAGTGCTCCCAGGAGCTTAGACCAAACATAAGCTTTTTTCTTAATAAACAACAACATAAATGTGGTCACTTAACCATAGATTTCTTTACATCACCATTAAAAACAAATTATGCCTGGATGGTAAAATATATTAGACTAGTTTCAGGGTTTCCCTAGATTAGCAGCTTAGGTTTGAGGGAGCATTTATCTTCATATATTGGCATTTGTCCCTACTGTTTCTCAACCATGGAATCACTGGGAAATATTTAATGGATAATGAGAATCACTTGAGTGACAAGTCCTATTCGACTAAATAGCCCAGCCGTGTCTTTACAATTGATATAAATGCTTTCATATTACATTTACATCTCTTATATCCACTGTGGAAAAAAAGGTATTTCAACAGTACAAAAATAATGTGGCAGGAAGGCAACCCTGGGGTGTTATAAATATCAAATAAGTCATAACTATAATGATAATATTGGAATTTATCTTCAGAAGATAAAGGTTGAACTTATCAAGGGGCCACAAGTGAGCAATAAAGTCTTCCTTATTGAGTACAGATAAATTTGAGATTTTCGATAATCTTGTTAAATACTCTGTAGTTCCTCATTCTTAATGCCATGCTTTAGTTTTAAAACTGCTCACTGCTTCCATAATTGCAGCTTTTTGTTGCTTCTTCCATATCTGATGATCTTTAGTAAAACACCAGGATAGTATCAAACAATCTCTTTCTTTTCTCTACTTCCCTTTCTCCCTTCCCAAATTCCTTTCTCAACTCCTCACCGCCTCCCAACCCTGTATACCTTATAGTAGGGTCAAGGACATAAACAAGGAAAATAAAATGCCAATAAGAATTAGAGATTTAACAACAGAAGAGACAGAAGTGTAACACACATTTGACCCCTTTTCTCTACCTAGACAAATCCCCCTCATCTGTCAAAGCCACTGTATCAGTTTGCTAAGGCTGCCATAACAAAGTACCACAGACTGGTTGGTTTAAACAACAGGAAATTATTTTTTCACAATTCTCCAGACTTGACATCAGAGATCAAAGTGTTAGCAGGGTTAGTTTCTTTTGAGGTATCTCTCCTTGGCTTATAGATAGTCATCTTCTCCTTGTGTCTTCCTGTGACATGGTCTTCTCTCTGTACATGTCTGCATCCAAATCTCCTATTCTTATAAGGGCATCAGTCATACTCGCTTAGGACCCATCCTACTGACCTCCTTTTTACTTAATTATCTCTTGAAAGACCCTATTTCCAAATGTAGTCACTTTCTGAAGTACTGGGGATTAGAATTTCAACAAATTAATTTTGGGGAGACACAATTCAACCCATGACAGCCACTCATTCTACCCTGATGTTGATTTTCCATAGTCTTGATGATCTCTGGAGACTGGATGAGAAAGAGATCAGACCAGATGAGCAAGAGGAGACCAGACTGGATGAGACTGGATGAAGAAGAGGAGACCAGACGAGAAAGAGACCACACCAGAAGAGACCAGACAAGGAAGAGGAGACACGACCTGATTTTTCCATTTATATAGCTACCTCGCATGCACTTCTTAACTTTACAAACACGACGGGTATTTTTTTGTGTCGCGATCATGACTTTTAGGAAGCCATGTGGCTCTTCACATATCTGTAACTATATCAGGATCTTTCAGAATTCACTTTATTCCAAGATAGCTTCAAAAAGAAATTAACCCCAATTATGACATAGCTGGTGATAAAGAAGATAGTGACAGGTATTGGGAATTCTGATTTAATGCTGTCTGGAGTGTTCATTCTTCAACATCCAAGATAATAAATAACGATGATGGTGGTAATTCTCAAAAAGGACTCAGGCATTTGCATAGTGTCCAACATGCAAGATGATCCCTATGCTTGTTGAGAGAGACCAGGATGTGATTAGGCAGGTGAGAGGCTATGCCCAGGAATGCTGTCCATTAGCCTCCTGTTGTAATTACGGTGGTTCTATTTATTACCATGTGACAAGAACCTTCCATTACCTAATTGAGTCCTCACAACACTCTCTTTAATGAGGTAGGTATTATTCTCCTTGCTTTACAGATGGGGAAACTGAGAGTCAAAGAGTTTACGTGACCTTCCAAAAGTCACGCTGTGTAAGCAGAGAGGAGAGAAGTGCCCGTGTGTACAGCTTCCAGGCTGGCAGACCCAATTCACCCAAGATGGATCAATTTAAAGCCATGAAATTTGGGTGGAGGAAATGTTTGCCCAGTTGACAGCCTGTTTGTGTTTAATCCTCTGTAAAGTATTTCCTGGCTCAGCTCCTTCAAGAGCTGTTTCTGTTCTCAGTTGACATTCTTGAAGAGAAAATCAACCTACCAGAATGACTGAGGACTTCACCCAGGGGTTCTCACATTGTATTAAATAAGAGAGTCTCCAAATTGCCTGAAAGACAATTATTTGAGTTAAAAAAATGATTATATTGTATTTTGGTATGAAAAAATCTCTCTCCTTGAAATATATGGCAATGACCACCACTTACTAGTTAAAAATCTTAGGAGGGGTGGCTTTGGCTTTCAAAAGACAGCAAAACATTTTCCCAGCATCTTTGTTGGAGAAAATAATGTTATTTCAGGTTTCTTTGGGCTTCCCCCTGAGTCTGAAGCTTCCGTGAGGGGTCCCAGTGACTCCCTCTTTCCACAGTCTGCACAGGCAACGCCTACTCAGGTTTAAGGACAAGCACCTCACCTTCGCCGTCCAACACAGGCCAGCCTCAGGGCCCAGAAGAAGGAAGAGCAGACACAGTTGCTCTCATCCTGAAAAACTCCTAGTGAGGCAAAAGCTTTCCCACACAGGGTTTGCAGGGAGATTTCAGCCAGACCCAGCGGTCTCGCTTGTTGTCAGAGACTCTAGTTGATTCCCACCTTCAGCAAAAAATCCTTTAGGGCAGCAAGCGCAGCAGGAAACCTGTCATTAGCAACCACCATAGTGTCACATCAGCGATTCTCAGGAGTGTCACTCCGCTATTTAACTCAGCTATTTACCTCATCGGGGAAAGCTTTGTTTGATTGTCAGAAAATAGAACATGCACATTTGTCTGTCATAAACACACACAAGCTCTCCAGAGCATAAATAAACAAAGCGATCATGTACGTCGGTAAATGTGTTTGCATTATTTAACCAAACCAGACGAGGCATGTGAATAACCCTGCATATAAAGTACCATCGAGTAACTTGCTTGTAATCTGTCTTGTACAATACAGCCATTGCCACTCATTCCACTCACCCGATTCAGACCCTGGAAATGTACTATTTTTAGATGGGCTTTGTACACCACTATTTACAAAGAGCACTGTTAAATCCTTTGAATAGCAGCCAAGAGGTTGGGTGAGAACCTAGAAACCTGCCACACAGATCAGCATCCTAATCAACCCTGGGACAGCCAGCGCTAAAGATTTGCCTTTGTTTCCTTTTTCTTCTTTGCCTTTGTCTCCACGGGAATATCGATGTAAGAGAGGAAAGGAGACAAAGAGTTGGGCCTTATCTGTTCTTGTCGTTCAAATGGGTTGCTTTACTCGCTCCCCTAGATAACAGCCCATTTGTCAACATCTTTGGCGATTTAAGCTGTTCTTTGTCAAAACCACTTTTGGAAAAGATTCGACCATTTATTTACTTGGGAGCCAACGTGACGGCAGCAGGTGCGTCATGGAAAACTCGGACGTGGGTGCCTCAGAGCCCCGGGGATTCGGTCACGTGACCGGCCGCCTGCCGCCAGGGCCAGCGGGCCAAGTGGCCACACGGGAAGGAGGGACGGAGGAGAAAATAGTAGGCAA